TTGGTACCCAGAGAGGAAAAAGCTGCTGAACGTGGCAAGAGGGTCAGGCGACAGTAGGAACTGAACGTACTACGGGAAGGGGCCTAGTATCCTTCAGAGCAAAGGCCCAGCAGTGCCTCTTTCTCACAAACAGCAGGCGAGAGACCGAAAGCGTTGCCGCGTTTCGCCCTGCAGGTCAGGACTTGCGTGACTGGGTGCCTCTCCATCAGAATAAAGCCGTCGCTGCACCTAAAGAGAGCCGGCGCATTAAGGAACTGGGCTCCAGCCTAGCCCCCCCCCTCCGCCCCAACCCAGCCAGAGGCTGCTTTTCTGCAGGCCTGGGGGATTTTGTGCACATGTGGAAGAACAAGCAGTAATTCAGTTTTCCCCCCATCTGCATTTTGAAATGGCACAGTCCATGCCTATGTTGAAGGCCTGGAATGTCCCACTGCAGAATGGAGGTGGGGGGAAAGCTCATTTTTAAACAGCCCTCTCCCACCAAGCGCATCTGGGAAAGGCTTCCAGTTTCCGGCAGAAAAGGGCATTTTCTACTGCCTCGTTCTGTGGAAGAGAGACCACCAGCTTGGGTTGGAAAATACCTGGAGATTCGGGGGAGAAAGTTTGGAGAAGGCGAGGTTTGGGGAGGAGGGGGACCTCAACACGGTACAGTGCCATAGAACCCACCCTCCGAAGCAGCCATTTTCTCCAGGGGAACTGATCCCTGCAGGCAGGAGGTCAGCTGTAAAAGCAGGAGGTCTCCAGGCCCCACCTGGAGGCTGGCAACTTGAGGAATTGGGGGGCAGAGCCTGGGGAGGGTGGCATTTGGGGAGGGGAGGGGGCCTCAGCAGGGTACAATGCCATATAGTCCACCTTCCAAAGCAGCCATTATGTCCAGGGGAACTGACCTCTGTCGGCTGGAGACCAGTCGTGGTTCCGGGATCTCTCCAGGCACCTCCTGGAGGGTGGCAACCCTAAAACCAGCATTAAGCAGCAGGAAGTCTGAATATGCTCACAGATGCTCTCTCGTTCGTCACAATGCCACATCTTCCATCAGCTTGTTGTGCAGAAGGTTCAGTCCCTGGCATCTCCAGTTAAAAGGACCAGGCAGGAGGTGGTGGGAAAGACCTCCGCCTGAGACCCTGGAGAGCTGCAAAGAGGGGCCATGGCTCAGTGGAAGAGCCTCTGCTTGGCATGTAGAAGGTCCCAGGTTCAATCCCCGGCATCTCCAGTTAAAAAGGACCAGGCAGAATGTGATGGGAAAGACCTCCGTCTGAGACACTGGAGAGCTGTAAAGAGTGGCCGTGGCTCAGTGGCAAAGCCTCTGCTTGGCATGCAGGAGGTCCCAGGTTCAATCCCCAGCATCTCCAGTTAAAAAGGACCAGGCAGGAGGTGATGGGAAAGACCTCCGCCTGAGACCCCGGAGAGCTGTAAAGAGGGGCCGTGGCTCAGTGGCAGAGCCTCTGCTTGGCATGCAGGAGGTCCCAGGTTCAATCCCCAGCATCTCCAGTTAAAAAGGACCAGGCAGGAGGTGATGGGAAAGACCTCCGCCTGAGACCCCGGAGAGCTGTAAAGAGGGGCTGTGGCTCAGTGGCAGAGCCTCTGCTGGGCATGTGGAAGGTCCCAGGTTCAGTCCCCGACATCTCCAGTTAAAAAGGACCAGGCAGGAGGTGATGGGAAAGACCTCTGCCTCAGACCCTGGAGCAGCTGCCGGTACGAGTAGACAATACTGACCTTGATGGACTCAGGGTCAGATTCAGTAGGAGGCAGCTTCACTTGTGGTTATATGTGAACAGCAGAAATGTGTGAGGTTCCCTTTTCCTCTGGAGGCCGTCTCCTCCGACTGGGGTGTCTCTCCAGGGTCTCAAACCGGGAATCTTTGAGCCGGAGACGCTGGAGATGGAACCTGCAGCCTGCTGTGGCCCCCTTCCCTCTGGGCCGAGGTACCCGAGGGGGCGGTTTGAAGCCTGCAGGGACCGATGCCCCTGTGAGGAGGTCGATCCTGCACAGAGAAGCTGCGGAGCCCTGGCTGGCTGGAACAGGGACTGACTCATCCCTTCTCTCCCCCCACCCCCCTCCAAAGTTTGGGATGATGTGTCAGAATGCCAGTGGCCCCGAGCTTATCGCTCCGCTCCACAGAGCCACCGCTGGGGCCGTGCTGCTGCGGTGGAAAAAGGCTTAGGCAGAATTAAATCCCCATGCAGGAAGCTGTGGCGGCGGGGGGGGGGGGGGGGGACGCCTTTTGTGGGGGTGGGGAAATGAGGAAGTGCGGGGGTGGCGTGCGATCGCCTGTGGGGGGAAACGCTGGCTTTTGACGCGGATTTGGGGCCGGATTTCTCAGCACCTGTGAACCGCAGTGCGGCAAAGGCGGCGTGCGGACCCGGGCTGCCGCCCGTCCCCTCCCGCATACGTCGGTTTGCAGGTCACCCAGAGGGAGTGATGCCCAGAGCTTGGGGGGGAGGAGTGGTCTTCCTGGGCCCCTTCTGGAGAGAGAGAGGCCTGTCTGTGGAGAGAAGTGGTCCAGGGTGCCTCGCCCCATCCTTTTCTGCATGCCAACGCTTGCTTGCTCTAGAGTATCCACCCCCGGGTGTAGTCACAGCCAGTCTGTGCAGGGCTGGGTTTCATGGACAGCGTTTTTTTTCTGTCAAAAGAGCCCCAACACCTCTCTCTTTAGAAATGAAACCGGGGAGGGGCTGTGGCTCAACAGCAGAGCATCTGCTTGGCATGCAGAAGGTCCCAGGTTCGATCCCCGGCATCCCCAGTTAAAAAGGACAAGGCAGGAGGTGATGGGAAAGACCTCCGCCTGAGACCCTGGAGAGCTGTAAAGAGGGCCCGTGGCTCAGTGGAAGAGCCTCTGCTTGGCATGCAGGAGGTCCCAGGTTCAATCCCCGGCATCTCCAGTTAAAAAGGACCAGGCAGGAGGTGATGGGAAAGACCTCCGCCTGAGACCCTGGAGAGCTGCAAAGAGGGCCCGTGGCTCAGTGGAAGAGGCTCAGCTTGGCATGC